CGATAACTCGCCCAAGCTCGCAGGCGCTATAAGCCGGGCTTGACGGCAGATCGCATTAGCGGCGCTTCCGGTCAATCCGGATGTGCCGCCATGTTGTTTAGATCGTGTGATGCCAGCTTAACAGTTTTCTTAACAGTTTAGTAGTTTTATTTAGTTTGAAAGACTTTACACAATTGCTTTATTTGAAATAAAACGATCCAGACTAGCCTTGTAACAGCATAAAGTAGTTTGTCGATATATGTATATCTTTATAAAAATATATATAGGTACTTAAAGAAAATGTGGTAAACCATTTATTCTATTTAATTTATGCCAGAGCGAATCGAACTCGTTCTGTGAATGGTTATTTTAGATAACAAACCTCATACATCGACTATATGTATCCCTTGCCAGGTCGTCTCTCCATCTAGTGGGAGGCAGCCCTAAACTTCCCTTAGGCGTTATGATGTCTTCTACATCGGTAGCTGGTTCTTCAAGCTATAACATGGCCGGCCCATTACCACTACAGCTTACTGGTTCGATGTGCTATGTCGGTAACTCTGGTTCTACTGCAGATCCTCCTACTACAAAGTCTATCACTCAGAGAAACTTCGAGCACACCCCTCTCCATGGCTCGCTAAGTGACATTGAGTTTACGCATAAGGCCAGCAGTGATGAATCACGATTCAGATCCATATTTCTTACGTGGTAGAGCCATGCTGCAGCTATATTAATAGTATAGTAGTAGCACGAATGGGTCGGCTCAATCGGGGAAGGACCACGCTCTCACAGAATACTAGCGTAAAATAGCAGCTTAATGCTGCTGTGTTTCGTATGGTGAGTGTAGAGAACCGGAGACCCATTTTACTGGAAAAGAGGCATTGCATCTTAGTCCTCACGGGTGACAACGCATCTGTATTTTGATTCGCAAACGAAGATAGATGTAGATGTCTATGGGCCACAGCAACCACTTACCATCAGGTGGATTGTGTGCTAGTTTGTCACCATTATTCTATAAAAAAAAATATGTCTAGCTTAAAACAGTTAAAAATAGCTTGATTTCGATTCAAACCGTTAGTTAAGAGTTCAAACGCGTGGAATATCGGCAACAAAGGGTTGGAAACCAGTCGAAACTTTGTTTACTGGACGCGATAATCTATGCATATAAATAAAATTGAAGTGTATGTCTGTAATATTCAAATAACTGTTTTCTAACAGGGGTTGTGCAAACAACACAAAGCTATTAGGACATGAACCACAATTTTAAAAAAAAATGTCTGTCTGTCTGTTTTTCTGTCCAGGCTAAGCTTCAGAATCGCTGAACCGATTTCGATTAAACTTTGTGAACAGATAGATAGCAATGCCAGGAGGGATCTAGGCTATATTATCCCTAAAATTTAAAAAAAAATTTGAAAAGACGAAAAATTTTAAAAATTATTGGTTTTGATTATCATATATTTAAAAAACGTTACATTAATATATCCTAACCAGGTAATTCCGGGGCGGGTCGCTAGTCGATAGTATAATCAATTTAATCAGAAAGTATCAAAACAATCTTGATATTATGATAGAAGTTCCTAAAGCTGTTTCAAGTGAAACGAACTCAACCCCGCTGATTATTATTGGTAATTAAACTTCCTTTTAATTCCATTAAGACGAATCTTCCCAGAAACTCGATCTCTAATGCTGTAAGGTTGAACTGTATTTGACGTAATAAAATTGTAGAGATACGATTTTAATTAATGTTTTCATTATTTTTGAATTTATACTTCTTTTGGCGCGTTTGGAATGGGAAAGGCCTATCTCCAGCAGCATATATACAGATTAATAAAGAAGAAAAACCGTTCTGACAGAGTTTTTAATCGTAACCTATTAATTAACACGCATAAATACAATTGTCAATCAACTAGGACAAAGTAGCTTTATCGTTAAATCCAGGCGGGCGGGCGTAATTGTTGTAATCAATGCGAACGACCTGACCAATTACCGAACTACCGCGTCGGTGCCGCTTCAATGCGTTGGCTAGTCACTAACGTGCTCGTACAATCAGGACCGCGATGTCCTAAATTCTTGCTTTATTTATGAACTAGCTGTTCGCCGCGACTTCGCCCGCGTGTAATTTAAGATTTTTTTTGCGCGGAACCCTAATTCTTTTTCTTAAATTAAAATAGCCTAAGTTACCCTTTATAATACCAGCTGTCGGCCAGTGAAAGTCCCGTCAAAATCGGTCCAGCCATTTCGGAGATTAGCCGGACCAAACAGACAGACAGACAGACAAAAATATTAAAAATTGTGTTTTTGTTATAAGTACCGTATATATTTTCAATGCATTAAGTAAAATGTTGTTACTTTGACATTACATACAAACACTTCAATTTTAATTATTTGTAGTGATACTGTGATATAGATAATTATGACTAATCATGCACGGACAATCATTTTGACGGTATATTATGTAGTCTCTTAGTTTTTATTCATGTACAGATTATAGAAATAAAAAATCTGTGTGTAAATTATACACGTAAATTACATAACGTAATAGAGAGGTGATAAATATAAGTAGGTACGTATGATAGAACCTATACAAATAAGTAAAATTGAAGTGTCTGTTTGTAATGTCAAAATAACAGCTTAGTTAGCTGTTATTTTGACTAACTTTAATCTTTAACTACTACTTTATTAAAAATAACAATAAAAATTTGTATGTCTGTTTGTTTCGACTTATCTCCGTAATGGTTAGACCGACTTTGAAGGGACTTACACTGGCACATAGCTGATGTTATAAGAAGTAATTCAAGCTACTTTTATTTTAGAAAAAGAATTAGGGTTTCGAGCAAAAAAATTAAAACCCATGAATTCCATTTTTAATAAATTCAGCGCGAAACAGGTTAATGCTGCCGTGTTTTGTATGGTGAGTGTGAGAACTGGAGACCCTTTTCACTGAAAACAAAGCATTTCATCTTAGTCTTCAGGAGTAACAACACATCTGCACTTTGATTCTTAATCGAGGATAGATGTAGGCCACAGCATCAACTTACCATAAGGTGGTCTGTGTGCTCCTTTGCCACTTTTATTTTATAAAATAAATTCTACAAATAAAATTCAACAAGGTGAAATCAGTCTTAATGTTCATATTTGTAACACGCTTGCTACAGAACTAATTTTCGAGAACTTTCTTAGTGTGTCGTAACCAGGGCGATTGGGCCTAGTACAGTATTTTCTTTGCTGCGATTCAGAGCACATAGTTCACCTGATTGTAAGTGGATGCTGTAGCTAATAGACATAATATTCATCTATGCTCGGTTAAAATCAAAATGCAGATGCGTTGTCACACCCGAGGACTAAGATAGAATGAATAGTCTCCGGTTCTCTATATTCGCTATACGAAACATACCAAAATTGTTGCTATTTCATGCTGGTATTCTGTGAGAGTGTGATCCTTCTCCGGTTCAACGTTTATACCACGCGTAATAATTTACCCGGAAGGGTATTGTATGTCTGTATATATTTCCTTAAAACATATGTATAAATTGAGGGTAGATAACTAAATCCATGGCTCTCTATAATGTACTACGTTTAAAAAAGAAAATTTAGCAACAAAATAGCAAACTAAACTATGTACTCAGACTCTTTTCAATTAGCAAAGTTGCTGTAGGCCCAAACAGGATTCCCGCTAATTCCTCGCATCGCGTGTGTATACTCCGTATAACCGTGTAGTTGTACGCTCGTAGCGCAATATAATTACAGTTCATTAGACTAACGCGGCCCGGAGAGTCCTTAATTAAGTAATTGCCAGCTACACTCATCTTCATGTTGCCCGGGCAGAAAGTATGACCACATGCGTTAACAATGGTTGATGATTTAACTTTTTGTTTTGTCTAAATTTTTATTGCTAAGTACACTTGTTATATTAGTTCTGAAATCAGTTTTCGTTATGTTACGTTTTCGTTACTCTCTTCTTATTCCTTCAAAAAGCAATGAATAATCTACTTTTATTAATGTCTTGGTTCTGGAATTACAAAAAACATACGGTAAATCAAAACTGTTTAAAAGTAAACTCAAATCATATTTGTTAAATCAACCATACTTATCTCCATGCTAGAATATTGTGATTTAATATTAATACATTCTTGTTTCTATAAGACGACTCTCTAGCGTAGATAAACCCCTAGAGGTTTACATGCTAGTATGGTACTGGATAATGTAACATAATTATGCTTAATAAATGAAAAAAAAAGCTGTATACTTCACCAATTTGTAAATTTATCTAAAGTAAGTATCAATTCCAAATAAAGGGTTAGGTAGGTAGCAATCTTATTTTTTCTTAATTAAATTGAAAATCCTGAATTTCTTACGCATACAGCAACAATTTTGTATAGATCTGGAGTTTGCTGAGACAGCAACCAACAGGCTCGATTTACAATCTCTACATAGTATAAAACAAAGTCATTTCCCGCCGTCTGTATGCTTAGATCTTTTAAACTGCGCAACGGATTTTAATGCGGTTTTCATCAGTAGACAGAACAATTTAAGAGGAAGGGGTTTATATGTATGAGACATGCATGAATAATAATATTATATAATTATTCTGTCCACGTGCATGTGACTCAACTCTCCTTAAACGGCTGGAGGACCGATTTTGATGAAATTTTGTGTGTGTGTGTGTGTGTGCGCGTGCGCGCGTGCGTGCGTGCGTGCGTGTGTGTGTGTGTGTGTGTGTGTGTAATTAAGTTGATTCGATAATAGTTTAGATTCACAATTGGACCCGGTAAGTGGCGCTGTTGTCGAGATCCACAAAACACCCGTGCGAAGCAGGGATGTATCGCTAGTAACGTATAAAGAGAAGTCTGAGTAGAGAGCATTTGGCGGCGCGCGCGACCCCTTTCCAAACAACAATACCAGCACATAATATTATATCTACAGGTTGAGTATCCTTAATTAAAGCGCGATTGATGTTTGACCTGTACGGTGAACCCCCCTTACTACGGAGTGAGAGAGTGGGACTTAGATTTCATACTTACTGTTCGAAAGGTGAGAAGAGGTGGTGCTGCGGACGAGGCTCAGGCGCAGCGTCCCGCGAGCTCGCGCTGCCCACAGAAGGTGCCGGTGATGAGCACCCTGCCTCGGACCTGCCATTCGTTTTTCTTTTTAATCCGCATCTATCTCAACGCGTGGTAGCAACATAACAGTATCTCACTATGACCCAAGTATTCCCAAGTATTCTTTGCCGTTATGTGAAAATATGAAAAATGTTTATTTGTCAGATAATTTAAAATTAAAAATTTTGTACAGTCGACTTCAATATACGTTATTAAGAATAACTCAAAAACTATTGATCTGACCTTGATCAAATTCATATGGGACCACACGAGAAGTACCAGCTTTCAAATAAAAAAAGAATCATCGAAAAGTTATGAGGTAACACACATAAAAAAAACATACAGTCGAATTGAAAACCGTCTCCTTTTGGAAGTCGGCGGAAAACAACTACAAATTATCAAAGTATCCGTTGGTACCCATACTAGGTAATCCTGTATCGTGGGTACCCATTTAGCATTAACAATTGTACGCCTCACAACGAGAGAGTGCGCTACTCTCGATATGTGGTCATACGTCAATTTCGCTACATAAAATCGTTCTTATACTTTTAGCAGGACATCAAAATCCATATCATTATTAACGTTACAATAACTACAGACATTAAATTATAAAATTAGTTTATTTTGTAATTGATTCACTTTAGATTATATAACCAAAAATATAATTGGAAAAATATATGGACTGCTGTCCGTTGGTATGTGCATCGGTGAGTCTCGCTTAATAGAAATCTAAGCAATAGATTGAGATATACATGTAGTATTAAATAAGATTCCATATATTCTAAGGAGGATTCCTATTGTTTTTTTGTCGATCAGATTCTCTGTTTTTTTTTTTCTTGTAAAAATTATCGTCACTATTTTTAATTTTTTCATCAAAATTAAATGAAACACTCAGGAATCGTGCACTTTTGAGTTTTCCAACAATGTATGTATAGTATTCGCTTGGTTTACTTCAAAATAAATTTAAAACTAATGTACAAATGAACAAACGTTAAGAGATAGAATAAAACGTTGTTTTCTTATTAACAATGATGGTTGCTCTTATGCTAGGTGTGAGAATATTTTTTCTGTCAAGTCATAATTTAAGACTAACGAAAAACTCCTTTCATATAGCTATTTTTACTAGGTGGTAGGTCTCTTATTCGGTCTGAGACGTCATCTGTGTAAGTATAGCCCTGTTACCTATTCCTGACGCCAAATATTAGTGCCATATGTGTAATAAAGCTGACAACTGACTAAGCTTACACTGCTGTGTGCTGTATAAAGGGTATAGAGAGGTGTATAACTTCAGGCTGTGAAGAATTCCATCTTAGTCTTCAGAGTTGATAACGCATCTGTAACCTTTTTGTTTGTATCTCCTACACTGCGTGGTAAAGCCAACTTCAGCTACATTATGATTGTACCACAAATGGGTCCGCTCTACTGAGAAAAGAACTCGCTCTCACAAAATACCAGCGTGAAATAGCAGCTTAATGATGCTGTATTTTTGTTCGGTGAGTTTAGAGAATCGGATACCTTTTTTAACGGAAAGGACGCATTCCATCTTATTTTTTAGAGATGAAAATGCGTCTGCATTTTCATTTTTAATCGAGGATATATGAAGACGTGCGCAACAGCATCCACTTACCATCAGATGGAATGTGTGCTCGTTTGTCAGCTTCACTTATATAAATAAAAAATATTTTGAAAATACCTAAGTTTATTACATATAAGGATATAAGATAAAGGTAGTTATGCCAATATATTTATGTAAAAATTACCTTTCAAGTCTAGGAGATCTACTGGGAGAAGGGCGAGGTGAGCGAAGTGGTGATCTACGTGGCGAACCCGGCGTTACAGGGGGCGAAGCCCGAGGCGAAACACCCGTGCCCGACATAGGCGATGCTTCCGCGGAGCCGCGGGACATGCCACACTCAGACGAACCCTGTAAACGTGCTTAATTTAAAAAATCGTACAAACAAGATGATAAAAACATTGTGAAGAACCGAATACCACAGAAAACGAACAAATAAACAAACGAAAATAAAGATTCAAATTCAAGAAATTTACTTTGACAACTGATAATTAAAATGTTAAATTAATTTTTTTTAATCTTCTTTTCTCGCTCAAAGGCTAAGTATAGCCATTCAGGGGGGAAACGCAGCCGGCGTTCTTAGCACGATACCGCGGGGAGTAGGACTGTATGATAATTAAGTTACTAGTTTTAGTTTTTTTTTTTATTATTGTTATAACTTTTAATAAAAAGATCCAATCAAATTCGGAAGAGAAAGATCAAAGAACTAAAAGGAATAAAATAATTTCCACATAATAGCTTCAGAAGTCGGTGTTAAGACATAGTGTATAGGAGAATCAAAGCTTGTGTTATCGGCTTTTACTTTTTAGGGTTCCGTACCCAAAAGGTAACTGACGGGACCCTATTACTAAGCTTCCGCTGTCCGTCCGCCTGTCTGTCAGAGGGCTGAATCTTATGATCCGTAATAGTTAGACAGTTGAAATTTTCGCAGAATGTGTATTTCTGTTGCGTTAAATAAGTACATAAAAATTAAAATAAATATTGAAAGGGGCTCCCCTACTGGAAACGTGTATTACGATGCTACGGAACCCTTCAGGCGCGAGTCAGACTCGCACTTCGCCGGTTATTATTACACCGACTTCATTTTATGATTTCATGCACCTGTCCCTAACCCTATAGAATAAAATTGCTAAATTTGTTCACGAAACAAGTTAAGGAACACTATTTGTCTCTCTTCCTCCTTTTATTTATGGTCACTGTTCTAGTGCGTTGTTTTTTTTTTTATTTAAAAAAATACTAGTAATACTATTAAACATTACTAATATTCCTTTAAACCACCTCTGGTAAGCTTAAAATGTTTGTGTTAGAAGTGGTTCACGACAGTATTCGAATGGCCTGATGGTCTTGAAATGGCGGATTCGAACCCACGACCTTTCGAGTTCGCGGTCCGCGCCCTGCCATTAGGCTACTGACGCTTTATTTTTATTGTATATTTTTGATTGTTTATTTTTATTGTATAAGTTGGTATCCTTATCATTTCAGTGCATTCTATCCATTCATCTCTCCCTTATTATCAATAAATTCTTTTTCTGGGTTGTCTGGAAGAGATTGCTATGTAGCAATAAGATCAACTTTTGCTTTTTCCTCAATATTTGTTTATACACGTTGTCTTAATATTTCATTCGTGTACAAGAAAGAGTATAATAAACAATAAAGAGTAATAAAGATTATTGTAGTTTTCTATCAGTGTTAACGATTGTAGAAAGTTAAGTACTGTCAGTACTTAAGATACAAGAGTAGCGGCAAAATTAAACTTTTAACCGACTACAAAGAGCTAAAAAAAACTATAGCCATTGTAATCGGTAGACATGGTAAAGCATTGTCCGCAAATATGTCGTACAGATGCCTTTGCAAATTGGAGAGTTTGATGTTTGACGCTTTTCTCGTGAATCCCAACATCAAATCTTCACCAATATAAAGAACTCCTCATACTCCCTATCTAACAAATAACAATCATTGACAACGTGGTAAATAAGACGAAGTTATCGCTGGACATACATAAAAAAATATTCCGAAGAACTGAAAACCTTTTCTACTAACTTCAAAAAGGAGGCGGTACTCAATTCGACCGTATGTTTTTTTTATGTTTGTTACCTCATAACTTTTTTCTGGGTGAACCGATTTCGATGACTCTTTTTTTATTTGAAAGCTAGTGCTTCACATGTGGTTCCATATAAATCGATCAAGGTCTGACTTTTTGAGTTATTCTTAATAATTTACATTGACGTCGGTTGTACAAAATTTTAAATTTTAAATATTCTTCTTTTAAGTAGATTGAAAACACAAATCGTTGGTCTTCAAATCATACACACGTAACCGTTATAGCCTAAACTAAACAAAAGTCCACTGCTGAATATAGGCCTTCCCAATAAATTGTTTCATAGGGGGATATATGCCACAGCTGCCACGCTTGGCAGACTGGATGGGAACCGTTGCTTTAAAAAAATTGTTGTTATTAGAAAAAATGACGCTACCTATCTCCTGTTTTTATCTCTCTGCCGCCGCTTCCGTCACCCACGGGCGATATGGAGTAGTGAATATTCTTTCACCGACACTATATAGATATACTATATTTTAATATTGTTTACCTTGTCATCCGCGGGGTCTCGTTTGGCTAATACTTCTGCTCCCTCTCGCTTACGCTGCTCTTCTTTCAATCTCTCCGCTTTCCGCCACTTCGCTCTTCGATTTTGAAACCATACCTAAAATATTAAAAGTTTTAATAATATTTTGTATAATAAATTAATAACATGTATAATAAATTAATTAAAAAAACTAATCTGTAGTCTGGATTTGTCATAATCTCTACGATTGGTGAAATGGTTGACTAGCGCAGTACCAGATATGACAGACCTTTGACGGTTCTCCCTGTTGCTGGCCTCAGTACCTTACACAGTCGCGAATTTCACACTTTACACCGCCACTTCTTACAAAGATTAAAGAATAAGAGACTGAAATCTCAGACTGAACACGGATAAGAGACTGAGGGTCAATCGGAAGGCATTCAATGAATGGGCGTCCATAAGAGCAGACAAAGGTTATAATATGATCTTTACCATGAAAGGTCATATAATCCTAACGTCAAATTTAGGGAATATGTAAAAAAATATTCAAAAATATTTAAAATAGTGTGCTCCACAGGCAAGTCTTTGCATTTGAGCAACAAAATTAAGACGGCTTCTAATAAAATTAAAATGACATGGAGTATAATTAATGGTGAAACGGGTAAGGCCAACTTTCGCAATTCAAACTACCAGTTAAGTTTTAACAACAAATTTACTGAATCAGATCAGGACATTGTAATGGTTTTTGAGAAATATTTTACTGATATTCCGATCTTAACCACTAAATCATTGAATTCTTCTCCTGCCGTTGCCGAATCATTACTTAAACAAAATTTTACATTTCATAAACTATCATCAAAATATATTGTAAAAAATTTTATAACTATTGATATAAGAAAACTGCAAATCTGTGGGGGATTTCCGTTAAATAGTGATTTCTTAAATTTACGCGAACACTACACATTTAAATGAAACTAATTTTACGGATTTTATCGCGTATATTAACTTATTTTACAGCTTTACAGCAGATACTGTAAGTTCATACTGCGTAGATCGGAACAAAAATTAATAATTTTTAATCTGGAGGTAGCCGTGGTTAACTATGACATTGGGACGTCATACACCTCAGTCCCCCCCGTGACCATGGGTGCTGTAAAGTGCTTGAAACGTCGGGAATGTAAAATAAGTTAATATACGCGATAAAATCCGTAAAATTAGTTTCATTTAAATGGATTTCCGTTAAAGTTATTGCCTCTATAACAGATACAACCGCGCCTCAACTAGCTATAATTTTTAATACTAGTATAGAATCTAGTGTGTTTCCTGATTTAATGAAGCATTGTAAAGTAATGGCATTACTTAAATCTGGTAGTACATTAGACACCGCTAATTTTAGACCTGTTTCTGTACTACCAACACGTATTAAGATTTTTTTGAAAAAATTATTCTTGATCAAATGAAAAAGTTAATATAAATAATTTACTTCAAAAATATCAATTGATTTCACAAGGGGTCGCTCGACAACTGATGCCGGTGTTGAGCTGAATAAATGTATCTTTAATGCATGGGAGAATTCATAGGATGCTTTGGGTATATTCTGTGATTTATCCAAGGCCTTCGATTGTGTTCGCCATGAAACATTAATCAGGAAACTTCAACACTACTGATGTTCTTAAATTAATTATTTCATATTGAATGGATGCCATACAGGATCCAGTTTACCGCCAAGTTTGTAGTGCGCTTGAAGCGGCGTCCGGTAAACCTGATGGTGTATGGTTATTAGTGTGTATGACAAATCTACTTGAAGCAAAAATTCTGCCGAATTGATCAAGCTTGCAGCGTTATGCAAACTTGAACGTGTGAGTGAGCGGTCAAGTATGCATGATGTTAGTCGGAGCAAATAACGAGAGACGCCATGGTTGCGGCATCATGCAAACTTGACGCCGCTTCAAGCGCGCTGTAAACTTGACGGTAAACTGGATCGTATATGGCCTCCATAAGTAAATGAACGCAAAAAATTGACATTAACAGTTTGAGCTCTTCCGAGTCGATGGTACAAATGGGCGTGCCTCAAGGCTCAATTTTCGCCCCTTTTCTGTTTTTTGTATAGATTAATGATTTACCTTACATAGTTGGGAATAAACATGATACAGTATTATTTGCTGATGACACTTCTTTAATTTTCAAATTAAAACGACAGTTACTAAAATATGACGAAGTAAATAATGCTATATCTAAATTAGTAAATTGGTTCAATGTTTATAATTTGCATTTAAATGACACTAAATCGAAATGTATGAAATTCCAAATTCAAAAGAAGACTCCAAATGTCAAACAATTAAATACTAATAATTAAATGGGGAGGAACTGAGTCTTGTCGATACCACCATTTTTCTTGGAATAACACTAAACGCGAAGCTTCAATGGAGCTTCCATATATCATAATTAGCAAGCAGACTTAGTTCTGCAGTATATGCTGTAAAAAAGATTAAATATCTTACAAGTTTTGTAACAGCTAAACTAATTTACTTTAGCTATTTCCACAGCATAATGTCGTATAGTATTTTGCTATGGGGACACGCGGTTGACACTGAAATTATATCTGCTTTACAGAGAAGGGCCATAAGAGCAATTTATGATTTAAAGCCTAAAGAGTCGCTGCGACAAAAATTTAAGGAAATGAATATATTAACTTTGGCCTCTCAATACATTTATGAAAATGTAATTAATGTACGTACACAAAAATAAAATAATTTTACAAAAATCAGTGACATTCTTCTTTAAATATTAGGAACAGACACAAACTAGTATTACCAGTTACGCGACAGCACCAAGTCAGTAATTCATTCTTGGGGCGATGTAGGTATACGCTTTTACAACAAAATTCCAGAAAATATACAAAATTGGATGTGCTCAAAGTTCAAAAACTTTATTAAACTCAGTTTGTATAAAAAGGGTTATTATAATATTAAGAAACTTAGGGATGATAATAACCCCTGGGAATGAGGTGATCGTTACCAAGCTATTTCTAATTTGTTTTGTGTTGTTAATTGTGTAACATAAATGATTGTAAGCCGTTATTAAAAAAAAGTCCCACTGGGTTTCTTGCTGGTTCTTCCCAGGACAGAGATTTTTTTTTCGAACCAGTGTTAATCAAACAAAAGAGTGACTTTCAATAAGTATTATGTATAAAAATATTGAATAAAAAAGTTTTTGTTTCTGTTTGGCTATTCTTTTATCTCAAGGTATAATTTGAGTAAGAAGCAAAAACTAAAAAAAATAGTTTGGAACTTTTGGATCTAGATCTAGAAATACCAAGGGGAGTGGTTCTAACCTACACGGATTATTAGGCAGAAAAGGCGAAATAAAAATAGGTTAATATGGTTATTCCATCTCGTATAATCTACATCCAGTCTGTTAGTCTTTAATCGTAATCACAAATTAAAGCTACGTGTGACGATTACAGCAAAACTTTTTATGTATATAAGGACCTTGTCCAGCAGTTAACTAAGTATGAAAGGTAGAAAATTATAAGCAAAATCACTTAAATACCCCAAACAAATAAATAACTATACTCATAGTCATCAACCGCATAATCCTCCATACCCCACCTGTCAACAATACAAATCCTTAATACTGCATCATTACCACCCCATTTTGTTGCTGATTACAACTCAAAGATTTACACATCGCTCCTCTAACATGGGGGAGAGTCGGACAAAACACCAATTTATATGACACTTATCGTGTTTGTCAATGTATGCTACGATAGGTCATTTTATATTGGCAATATCGTACGATCACCAATTATATAAGAGCCACATTACGCTGACATGTACATTCAATAACAGTTCTGGTGTTTTTGGATATTATAAGCTGGTTAGCTTTACACGACAAGAGTCGAGGCCACATTTGCAGTGCAATTTTCGCAATTTACTTTTAATAAGCTTCTCGTTGATGGGTGTGCTATGAAATCCCGTTGTGATGGTGTCACGCAGAAGCGTAAATAGGTAAAGAACAAATTTTATTGGTTCTTCCAAATTTATTGCAGATTAACCCTTCCGTATCTTTTATTAAAAAAGACTTTCACTCAGTGGTAAGTCTCCTTTTAGACTTAGGAGCCCGTCTGAGAAAGTTCCACCCTCTTACCTATTTCTACTGTCAAACAGTTAAAAAAGCAACAGTTAAAAAAAAGAAAAGAAAAAGTTGTGTTTGCACTGCTGTATCCCGGACTGAAGGCCATAATTACAGGCCGTGAAGTATTCCATCTTAGTTCTCAGAGTTGACAATGCACCTGCAGACTTCTTTGTCTGGAATTTGGCTGCTGGTGTTCATGGACTACAATAGCCATGTACACCAGCCATGTACAGTGCCAGTAGCCACAAAAATTATGTTTATTTGTATGTGTTTATTTAAAAATGTATAATATTTATGAAAAATAATTTAAAATTAAAAATTTTGTATAGCCGACTTCAATATAAGTTATTAAGAATAACTCAAAAACTATTAGTCTGACCTTGATCAAATTCATATGGGACTACACGAAAATTACCATCTTTCAAATAAAAAAAGAATCATCCAAATCGGTTTACCCAGTAAAAAGTTATGAGGTAGGAGGTAACACACATAAAAAAAAACATACAGTCGAATTGAGTATTTTGGAAGTCGGCAGAAAAGAAGTGTAAGTTGGAGTGCGTGAATCAGAAAATAAGTGTGTCTATGTTTTCATTATTTATAAAAACTAAGGCAATAAACCTGTTCAGCTCACCATTACCGAACGATGTCGCTGTGGTAGAAACCATTTCAAAAGCAGAATCAAAAAAAAATGGATACTTAAATAGAAGAAACATTAATCATCATAAATTGCTACATAATTTCCTCTCTTCTTAGCTGCAATTTTAAGTGCTGATTTACCAACCGGAAGAAAGAATTGCTCCATAAATGTTCTCTTACAATCCGTAATTGCTTAACGTCTTTTGCTATTAGTTAATTTATAATTAATTTAAAAAAAAATCAAAAATTTAATTTTGCTAATAAAATATCTACTTTTTAAAATTAAGATGTATGCCATTTTTTTTTTAAATTAAATATAAATTAACTGATAGCAATAGACGTGGAGCAATTAAGAATTCTACGAG